GGAATTGCTTTGAAAGTATTGGCCATCACCACTCCAGACCCTCCTCCATCCTCCCAGCCTCATGCAGCCTCAACCAAGCAGCAGCCAGCCTTGCACCTGGCTGCCACTCAAGCCCTGGGCTTATATGCTCCTCTAGTACTACCTGCATCTGGTCATCTGAGGTTGCAGGTCAATGGTTCAGAGCTGCAGCAAAGTAGGTATAGATTGAATATCACAAAAAACTTCTTTACCGTTAGCATAGTGAGGCAGTAGTGAGACTGCCTGGGGAAGTTGTGGACTCGCCATTACTGGATGTGTTCAAGAAGAATTTGGAAAGCTACTGGATGGGGATGATCTAGGTGTAGCTATGCCTATGGTCTAACATGGGTATTTGCCATGGTTCTGGGCTTTGTTTGCTTCCCGCCTTACCCTTTTCTGCTACATGTGTGACATTTTTAAGCCTCCCTCAGAAGCCTTGAGTGTTGGCTGCAGCCAAAGTTGGGGATTTTGACTGGAATATGCCAGTGTTCTTGCTGGGACCCAAGCCAAAGGCTCCTGACTCAAGGGTCTCACCCCTTCACTCAGAGTCAGACTGATCTGTATATTTGGTGTCAGGAAGGAGTTTTACCTCATGGTTAGACTGGTACAGATTGTGGGGGGTTTTGCCTTCCTGTGTTGCAAGGGAGCATGGTCTTCTGTCTGGAATCTCTTGAGCATATATGGCAACCTTTTATAAAAGCCATATATTGGCTACCATAGTTTCCCTGCTTTGCCTGTGGCAGGCTAGGATGTCTGTGTCATTGAGGATAGTCTTATGTAGAGTTCAAATTATGGATTGCATAGGATAGTTTGGATAGGGACCATCCTGCCTCAAGCAGGCTGTTGGACTAGATGACCTCTGGAAGTCCCTTCCAGTCCTACTTCTCTATGGTTCCACTCTCTTTCTCTCACATACACATACACTTCAATGCACTATTTTGTCTCAAGTTCATCCCGCTTGGCAGTGCCCTCTGCAACTAGCCCTTTTTAACAAGACAGCATAGGAAAAAAACTGATGAAATATTACCAATTTCTAATTTGGCCTGATGTTCATCCCATATCAGTGGTCAGTTCCCTGTATTAATTGCCATATGATTCTATTCTATAAATATTCTCTGAACAGTCTTTACTTACATTAGGCGTTATACACCATAAACTTACTGCACCTTCCAGTGAAGCCCTCAACTGTGATATACTGCTCTGTACAGGCTGCCTTCTAAAGTGAAAGTTATGTAGCTATATTTGCATGACACTTTGGATGAACTAATTACTACTGCTGAGTGCCAGTACCAAGTATCCCATTCCCATGCTAATTATACCACCTTTGGCACTGTAACAATACAACTAGCCTATTTCTATTTTAGGATGCAGCCCTCAGAGCACTGTCACATGCTTGGTGGGCACAGTAAAGTTACTATGAAGGCACAGCCTCATAGACATTCCCGTTCTAATACACCCATCATCTCTGCTATTCCTTTAATTGACAACAATCCCACCTGCAAAAAAACAAAAAAATCTATGGAGGAAAAGGCCAGAAGAAATTTTACAATTGAGTTATCAATTTTTGATTCACTTAGGCCAATACAAATTCAGCAAGTGAAATAATACTGCTTAGAAAGATGGACCTATTTTTGCTCTTCTTCAGTGATCTTTAGCCACAAAGACTAGTCCTCAGCATTTTGTGATGGCTTCTAGGCATCATTTCCAGTAGTGTATTCATATTTTAAATATTCCATTCATCCATATATGAAACACAGGCTTCTTCTTGACACTCCAGGTGGTTCTCATGATTGCTAAGGGGCTAAAATGGCAACTGCCTATGCAATTAATTGATCTACTTGCACAATTACAGAGTTAATCCTCCTTCCCCTGAAGACATGATATGTTGCCCTGCAGCTACCAAGAATGCCTGTCCTGTGCCATTATACACAGACAATTATTTCCTATACACAGTAAACTCAGGATATCTGTAACCACCATAGTCACTTCACCTGTAGTGACTTCTCTCATTGAGTAGGGGTGTACGCACATCACTGTACTGTGGCTCACTTTATCAACATTAATTCCAGGCTGTAAGTAAAAACTAATGTCCTAGTGTGTATGTTTATGGCTTGTCTTATAACTGTGAGTTTGAGACTCTCTCAGATAAAAAGAATTCTAAATTAATTGGAGAGAAAGGAGGAAAAGACTGTCACATGTCCTGCTGCAGCTCTGTACCCTTCTCTGCTGTTTGTTCTTGCAATCCTCCTGCCTTCTCTGAAGCATGGGTAGCTTAAGAAGTTTAGTTTTAGATTTCCTAAAAACATTCCTTATACCTGAGCAAACAGTGGCCTCCCAACACAGTAAGCACTAAGCATCATTTTCTGAGGCAAACAGTTCTCTGTAAGTTTCCATCTTTCATACTATTGAAAGGATTAGACAAATGCAGCAAACAGATAAGGAAATGCATTCAGTCACCTTTTGGAAACAAAATGTATCCCTGAACCAAGGGCAACATAAGCTAAATATTATAACATGACCATTTCTGAAATGAAGGTTCTGATGCAGCACATATATATCTCAGCCACAAAAAAAAAGATAAGTTATATCCATGCATAAAGCAAAATGTTTTAAATCTTTTACAAAGTTTTTTAATTGACTTAAAATAAGATGTATACCTTTTTCTTAATTAGCCATTTGTGTAGCAATATTTCTGGTTCAGCTAGAAAAGTATTTGTCCACCCTACAGATATATGTAGATTCCAAAAAAGAGGCTCCTTTTGAATGGAGAATAGCATGCCCATATGATCTTCTTGACAACTCTGGATGGAACTTTATATTAAGTGGATAGACTCTTTATCAGAAAACTGTAATCTTGGATTTATGTGCTGAAATGTACCCAAGAGCCATTTAAAACACCTACGTTGTTTTGTGTATCTGGACATTGGCCCTAGCTAGTTAGTTAATGATGCTGCTGTGCACCTTCTAGCTTTGCATGTGAAAGAGAAAGAAAAGGAGTTGATATTCTACCTATTGATGCAAACCAGAATGAGACAAAGGAAAACTGTCAACCATTTTGAACTTTAAAAGGGCCATTCTAATCTCCAGGAAAAGGAATGCCCCTACAAATAGACCTTAATTACTTGGACATGGCTTTTCTTTTCACATCATTTTTAGAAGGCAACAAAGTAATGTACTGAATTATAGCCTTAGCAGAGCTGGTTGAATTGCATTAATCAAATTCAAAATCAAATACATTTTAAACATTTTTGCTTCACAGAACCTTGCCAACATTTCCACGTTTTCACAAATTAATTATGAGATTACACTGAAATGGAAAAATGGACAATTTACATGGAACAGTCACAAAGGATCTTGGATCTGGTAGATGTGCAATTTACATGAAACAGTCACAAAGGATCTTGGATCTGATATTCAAGATCTACATTAGTCAGCCAAGTCACACATTTTTCTTAGCCTGTTTCCATGACCTGTCTATTAAAAAGAGGAGGCAGCACATACCACAGCCTGGTGGAGCTTTGATTCTCACTGGGAGAGGAGGGACTCAGCAGGGAGGCAGCACTTGTAGGGAGAACTGACAAGAGATAAGCAAAACCTGAGGAAATGCCAATCAGGACAATTTTATTCTCTACTACTGCACACAAGTGAAAGTGTATTTTTAGCTACCCATTATATGTGAGCTTAATAATTTAAAAATCTTTTCTGATTGAGAGAGAAATGGTGCTTAATGCATGAATTCTCCACTTGGGTATCAACAACACCACTCTTTGCATATTCCCATTTCACTTTCAAGTATGTTTTCAGTTGTACCTTCATTTGTGTTGCTGTAATGCCATCTCTACATACACTAACTGCTACCTACTCATTTCCCATAACTCCTGTTTTCAACCATACTGGTCCCACTACTTTGGGACATGGCTGGGATGGCACAGGCTCTAAAGTGCACAGCTGACAGTGCAGAGGTTGCAAGTGCAAGGCCATAGCAAAAGCACTTGCAGCACGGCCCTATCAGATTCCATCTAATCAGTAAATTCTGTGGAATATGGCATCACACAAAGACACAAAAAAGGAAAAGATTACTTTGGGACATTTTCCTCACAGCTATGAAGAGGCAGAATTTATCCTATAATAAGTTCTATGAAGCACACCATCTTCAATGAACAGAGGTTTGGTTTTGTTCTTTTTTTTCAGTATTAAATATTGGCAAAGAAGAGGCCTGTTCCATACTTCTTTTAGCAAATGGATGGAAGAAAATAAAAATCCAAAGGAGACAGGAAATAAGATAAACCTAGTAAGCCTGCTCATTGTTCTTCCACTGGACTTCTTTGGTATTACAACTACAACATGCTATTCATGTGGCCCCCCAAAATTCATTTTATTTTGTTCTTGTGGTGGACCACAGTTACTTCAGCCCTTTTATACGCAGAGTTTGGCACCCAGTAAGTTAATAGTAGCCTATGCTACTATAATTATTCAATTAAAAAAAGGTACAACTTAGTCATACCTGGTGACCTTTCCAAAGTAAGCCTCGTTCAACCAACATTTGTTTCAAACATTAGAGTCATTATCTGATGCAAACCTTGAAAAGCTTCCAGGGATATCTCGAATACTAATATAAAGTAAAGCTAAAATCCATTCCATCAGGTTAGTGTCAAATTCAACACAGATTGTCAGCAGCAATATTTCTAGAGCAATATGAGTTCCCTGTCTTTCAAGCTATTAGAACTACAGTACAACATAAAAAATAAGGCCTGAAAGAAGTATTACGTTGATGTGAAATCTGATTATAACAAAAATAAATATTTTTATTCATTAGATTAAAAAAAGACTTTCATGAAATTGTGTTTGATAGAAAATTAGATCTCCTAATCATCCCTATTTTATTTCATTTGAGTGAGTTTCATACCATGTTAAAGGTTAATACCACTATTTCTCCCTTCACTGTCCAAGTTTATTGAAAGCTTTAGCACACATAATTTAGCCAAGACTGACTGTAAGGGAAAGAAATTTCAACATTTTTAAACAGTAATAGAGAGTGTTATAGGGTGTCCTCCTCATCAGGTCTTCACCGGCCGCCCTGCTCCTGGGGTAACCACCTGCTTCGCTCATCTGCCATGCCTTGATGGAAAAATATGAAAGTCGTTACAAAGACAGGAGGCTACCCATTACTTGCCCTGCTGACAAGGGTCTAATACCCACTCCAACCTTCCCTTCATGGGTCCCATGCCTTGCAGATGTTACTTTGATGTTACGTCTCCAGTCTATGACCATAGCAAACTGGGCACACAGTTGTACCTCTTTTCTACAGCCCTAGAAGGCCACTCATATACCACCTCTCTCTCACCGCAGTTCCACTCACTCAGCTGGCTCTCACCCAGCTTCTTGCATACTGCCCTCTCTCAGGGGCCACACTCATGCCACCCTGCCTCACCTGGCTTTGGGCTTATCTCTCCTTGCCTCGGTCAGCCCCAGCGCAGTCTGTTGGGTATCTCCCGCTACCCTCACTGTTAGACCCTGACTCCCATGCGGCACCCAATGACTAGGGAGACGAGGGTCCAACTACCTGTGGAACCTGTTACTCATTAGCCAGAGCAAGCAGGGAGCAAACACCAGCACACATTTCTCACAACAGCTTTATTCAGAATAGAGACAGCTTCGGACAAGGACCTCACGCCGTAAGAGACAGGGTCCTGCCCCAAACAATAGGTTCATCCTACATTTATACACTTTGGTTTATACTCATTAACATTTATTCCACCTCTGTCCATCCTCCTGTTCCACCCATTTCTCCTCCCATCTCAAGTTCTGCCTCTGTTTACTGTTTGCTTCATTAACATGGCATTGCCTATGCATTTCATTCATTTACATGTCTTTTTGCTATAAGCACATGTCTAAGACCTTAACTCCTTTTCTTTGGTCAATGGGTGGACTTTGACCAAAACCTGGAAGCTTCTGGAAGCTTCTTCGCTAATCACCATTCACCTTTTTGCATATGTTCATCTTGGATTCTGTTACCAATTACGTGTTGTTTTTCATATTCCAATCAGTTGTTCTGTCTTAGGTTGTAACATCTTTCACCCTTTTTAGGGCCCTGTATCTTATCTCATTCCTCACTGTAGCTAGTTTACAGCACACAGACTCACACAGATTTACTTGCTGCTTTTCCCTTAAAAATGGTTGACACAATTAAGATGGTTACTTAACATAAGCGAATGGCTGGCTTAGATATCATTCTGCCTTGTGGTCAGCAGCCCTGCTAGGCCACAGGTCATGTCTTGTATTCAGCTGCAAACCAAGTGCTCCCTAATAATCCACATTATTGTTACCCTAACATTCACCTGAGCATTGACTAAGCAATTGTATGACTGTAGGCCTATCTCACTCCTAGCCCCTCATCAAACTACTACACCCCCACTGGGCCTCCTCACTGCAAACATTTTTTCATTCCTGCACATACCTCTTTCCCCACCTCAAATGGGTTTGAGACCTGCAAGAGGCATATGCGTGCTCGTCTGGATGCACCCATAGATTTCAAGGAGAAGGAGTTAAAGAAAGTTAGGGAATATGTAGAGAACGTCTGACAGGTAGAAATTATAAGAGGATGGGAACATCTGGGATAGGTGACAGTTTCTAAAAGAGACAAAGCACAGTGGCAAACTGATGTGGAGGAAATACAAGAAATATAGTAAGATACCAACGTTGGTGCATCAGGAGTTTGTTGATGACCTGACACCAACATAGAACAGAATAAAAAGGCAAATAAAAAAGGACACATTGATAAGATTGTCAATAAAATGGTAAAGAAAGTATAGGTACAAGATCTAGCCTAAGATGTAAAATAAGGCATAATCAGTAACAAATATAAAGGACAATGAGAAAAAGGTTCTATACATATATTAGAAGAAGGGAAGGCAAAGGAGAATACAGGTCCCATTACTTCAGAGGAAAGATGGGGCGGAAAATGACACGGTTAATTGAGAAACATTTTTTTAACACAATTACAGTTTAAAAAAAGGTTGGTTTGTTTGTTTTTTTGGGGGGAAAGACAGAACAGGTAGGATACCAGCCAAAAAGAAGAAGTTAGAAAAGCTGGATATTTT